CTCAGCCAGGGCTGCAGTCATCTCAAGGTTCCACTGCGGAAAGATCCACTTCCGGCTTTACTTGGGCAGTTGTCAGCAGGATTCAGGTTTTTTCAGGCTATTGTATTACCGTGGGCCTCAGCTCTGGTCTGGCCAGGGAGCCTTTCATTTCCTTGCCCTGTGGGCCTCTCTATAGGAGAGCTCACAACAGGGCAGCTTGCTTCATCACAGCAAGCAAACAGAAAAGAGAGGGAGGCAGAGAAAGAGAAAGGCGCAGAGACAAACAGAGGTGTCACAGTCTTTTAGAATCTCATCTCAGAAGTATATCCCACAACTTTTGTCATAGTCTGTGCCTTAGAAGAAAGTCACTGGGTCCAGCTCCTTCTGAAGGGGAAGGGGTGATGCAAAGGTGTGAATACAGAAGGCAGAAATCATTGGAGGCCATTTTAGAAGTGTCGACCACAAAGGCTGCTGCAGTTATCCAAACAAGAGATGGTGGTGGCTTGCACAAGGTTGGTAGCAACTGGGGAGGAGGGTAGTCAGGTTCTCAATACAATTTTAAAGGTAGAGCCAACAAGATTTTTTGTCTGACTGGACATGGGGTGTGAAAGCAAAAAATCAGTCAAGTACAGTGGCTCACGCCTGTAACCCTAGCACTTCGCGAGGCTGAGGTGGGAGGATCACTAGCGTTCAGGAGTTCAAAACTAGCCTGGCCAACATGGCGAAACCCCATCTCTACTAAAAATGCAAAAAAAAAAAAAAAAAAAAAATTAGCTGAGTGAGGTAGTGAACACCTGTAATCCCAGCTACTTGGGCTGAGGCAGGAGAATCACTTGAACCCAGGAGGCAGAGGTTGCAGTGAGCAGAGATTGTGCCATTGCACTCTAGCCTGGGAGACAAGAGCAAAACTCCGTCTCAAAACAAAAACAAAACAAACGAAAAAAAAAAAACAAAGAAAAAAGTGAAAGATCAAGGGTGACTTCAGGATGTCTGCTCTGAAAACTGAAAGGATGGACTTGCCATTGACACAGATGGGGAAAACAAAACAAGGAAGGTTTAGTGGATTAATAGGGAGGGGCTGCTGAAGATCAGGAGCTCTGTGTTGGTGTGTTAAGTTTGAGATCGCCAACAGATGAATGGATAAAGAAAATGTAGTACTTATACACAATGGACTGATACTCAGCCATCAAAAGAATGAGATTCTGTCATTTGTAACAGCATGAATCGAACTAGAGATCATCATGTTAAGTGAAATAAGCCAGGCACAGAAAGACAAACATCACATGTTCTCATTAACTTGCGGGATGTAGAAATCAAAACAATTGAATGCAGAGAGATAGAGAACAGAAGGATGGTTGCCAGAGGCTGGGAAGTGTAGTGGGTGGTGTGGTGGGGGAAGGTGGGGATGGTTAATGCATACACAAAAAAATAAGAAAGAATGAATAAGACAGTATTTGATAGCACAACAGTGGAACTATAGTCAATAAAAATGTAATTGTACATTTAAAAATAACTAAAAGAGTATTAATTGCATTGTTTGTAACACAAAGGATAGGTGCCTGAGGAGATGGATACCCGATTTCCCATGATGTGATTATTATGCATTGCATGCCTGTACCAAAATACATCATATACCCCATAAACATATACACCCACTATGTAACCACAAAAATTAAAAATAAATTTTAATAAAATTAAAAAGTAAAAACAGTTTGAGACCACGATTTGACAACTAAGTATATCACAAGACCTTGAGCTGTCTTTCAAGTTCCCTTTAATTATTATCATAACTTCTTTCAACTCTTAGGTTTGAGTAGATGCAATTTTATTCCTCGACTAGGATCGGTGCTAATTTCCTCAACTTAATTGGATCCACCTAACAACTTTACACCCTCAGTGGATTCTGCATGGTTAAGAGCATGGACTCTGGGTCTGAACCATGTCACTGATTAGCCATCTGAGGGGGCACATGTTATTTAGCCTCCCTGTCTCTGTTTCCTCACCTGCAAAGTCGGGATAATAATATCACCTCTATGCTAGAGGTCACATCTTGAGCGTTTGCAAGGATTAAACGATTTAATATTTGGAAGGCACTCAGAATGGTGGCTATTGTTAGAAGTGCTATAGGGATTAGCTAAACAAATGTTCTATTTGAGTAGGTGTGTGTGACTGGTTCTCAGCCACAATTCTGTAGTTGTTTGATAAAAATTTAAATACTGGTCGTCCCAAAACTGATGTTGTCTCTTGGAAGGCTTTTGACCAACTACAGATGCTCAGAAAATACAGATAAAGGTGCAAGTACCCCTTCAAAATTGGAATAAATATTTGAAGATAATAGGGAATTTTTGTTAATTTTCAGGTGTGATAATACTATTGAGGTTATATTTCTTCTAAAGAAATCATCTTTTAGATACATATTGAGGTATTTATGGTTAAAATATCTTGAATTGGCTTTAAAACAAAACAGAAGAGAGAGTAGTAAATGAGTAGAAATGAAATAAGATTGGCCCTATGTGGATAATTGCTGAGAAAGTGTAATGTGTACATGGGATTTTATTATATATTCTATTTTTGTATATGTGGAAATTCTTCATAATAGAAATGTTTCTGATCAAGGATCTACGCCAAGAGAAACTTAAGCCCTAGTGCTGCTTCCCATGGTAAATATTTGGTACAACTTGGGTTCCTATTATTTGTTTATTAGTACCAAGGTGACCTCTGAGACAGTGTCCTGCTGGTACAGAGATACACAAAACTCAGGTTTCCAGGCCCAACATTGTCCCTTTTTACATATTGCTACTGCATTTAACAAATGTTAATGCATTTAATCCTTAAAAAAAAAAAAAAAAAGAAGCCAATATGTAACATCTAAAGCCCAAACCAACGTTGTAGCTGCAAAAATCTTTCCTCCTACAGTCTATGATGGGGTGTTAGATGTTACATCTTGGCTTTTTTTTTTTTTTTTTGAGACGGAGTTTCACTCATGTTACCCAGGCTGGAGTGCAATGGCGCGATCTCGGCTCCCCGCAACTTCCGCCTCCTGGGTTCAGGCAATTCTCCTGCCTCAGCCTCCTGAGTAGCTGGGATTACAGGCACGCACCACCATGCCCAGCTAATTTTTTGTATTTTTAGTAGAGACAGGGTTTCACCATGTTGACCAGGATGGTCTCGATCTCTTGACCTCGTGATCCACCCGCCTCGGCCTCCCAAAGTGCTGGGATTACAGGCTTGAGCCACCGCGCCCGGCGAGGAGGGCATTCTTAACCCAACAGCCTGTATAATCTTTAAAAACATGTCAGATCATGTCACCGCTCCATTTAAAGCATCCATTGCCTCCCATCTCAAGAGTAAAAGCAAGTCCTTCCAGTGCTTCCAAGGTTCTACATGCCCTGGCTCCTTCATCTCGTACTATCTCTCCCTCAAGCACCCACTTCAGCCTCATTGGTCTCCTTGCTCTTCCACACGCACGCTGAGAGAACCTGCTGTTCCCTCTGCCTGGAAGTGCCATCGCCCAGACATCCACATGAATTGCTCACTCATCTCCTGAAGTACTCTATTCATGTGTCACTTTTTCCTCAAGGCCTTCCCTTACGTTCCTATTTAAAATAACTACCCTTTCCTCCTAAAGCAATTCCACCCTAGTTCTCTCCATCCTCCTTTTCATTTTTTCTGTGGCATTTACCACCATAGGACACACTTATTTGTTTATTTTCTGTATCTACCCACTAGAATGTCTATTCTATGAGGGTAGAACTTTTGCCTGTTTCCTTCACTACTATGTCTTCAATGCCTTGAACAGTTTCTGGCACACATGGGGCATTCAGTATTTGCTACATAAATTAATTCACATTCATTCCTTTTAGATGGCGCCATGTCAGCATCTCCCCTCCCTGAATGTCCTCGTCCCTCATTCTGCATCCTTGTTTACCACCATGTTCACTATGCTGCATTATCCAGCACCTGTCCCTGTAGTCATTCCTTTTGGGGAGAGTCGTTTCCATGGTGATACAAGAGCATTTCACCTACTTAGCAGGCCTCTCAGAAAGCTCTTTGCAGCATGCTTCTATTTCTAGTGTTGTTAAGACTCCAACACACACGGAACTTTCCATTCCTATCCTGGAAAGCATTCTCAATCAGTACAGCTAGCAATGTGATTTGCCTGGTGCTTTTCAGCTGTTCTGTAGGCAGGTTTATTTAAACAGACCTCTTTTGATGGACATTTAGTATGTTCTAAGGCTTTGCCTTTTTAGTCATTCACTCAAAATATTTATGGAGGGCTTATTCTACTCCAGACACTGTTTTAGTCACTTGGCATACACCAGTGATTCAACCCTGGGTTCCTAGTTTATATTACCCCACCTATTGTTTATGTTGTTGTGAAGCGTGTCAAAGATCTTGATTTTGCTTGCTGCTCTCTAGCTACCGACTTTGCAGTCCGTTGATGTGAAATATGTACAGAAAAAAAAAAAAAAAAAACAACAAAAAAACGTGGCAGGGTGCAGTGAGAGGCCAAGGTAAGAGGATCCAGGAGTCTGAGACCATGCTGGACCATAATGAAACCCTCATCTCTACAGAAAATGTAAGAATTAGCTGGGCATGGTGGCACGTGCCTGTAGACCCAGCTACTTGTGAGACTGAAGTGGGAGGATGGTTCAAGCCAGCAAGTCAAGGCTGCAGTGAGCTGTGGTTGCACCACTACACTCCAGCCTGGGTGACAGAGTCAGACCTTATCTCAAAAAAAAAAATTACAGAAACCAACACTACCTCCTTGTTTGGTAAATAAAAGGGAAAGACCACATACACACACACACACACACACCCTATCTAGGCATTTGGAGTGTTGGACAAACTTGTACTACTGAGGAGTTGGGCACTGCATCCCAAGAGTCCTGACCCATTCCCGAGTCTATCAGCCTCTTTGGGAACAGGAAGTTGGAAGCGGGCAATCACTGAGCTGCTCAGATAACTTTCATTTGCATCTCACTCAGATTTCTGTAATAGAGCAATGTTCCTCTTCATTATTATTTCTTATTCCAGAGTGTGTCATTGCCTATGGTTTGTGAGTTTACCTCCTGCTTTGCAAAAGGAAAGCTCTAGAACTTCCCCATTGATACAATGCTCAGAATACCTTCTTGCTATACCATCAGCATTCCTGAGTAAATACAAGTTCAGTTTGAGAAGAAAAATCTGCCTGGTTATTCGTCAGGCAGGAAAAACAAATACAAATAAAGATAACTGCAAAGTTAACAAGAAACTATTGCTGCCAAGGACATGCTTAATCTAGAGTGTCATAATAACCCTGTTTGAGTGACTGCGGCTTTCTCACTTTCTCACTGAGAAACACTGTTCTCTAAAATCAAAGACCCTCAGAAACTTGCTGTTTGAAATTTTGTCAGTAAGAATAAAAAACCTTGCTTGGAGGGTCTAAGTCACTTTAACACAGAGACATAGCTTCAATTTACAAGCCAGTTGCAAAGGTGCAGAGAAGAGGTTTTCAAAGAAACAGGACCATGGGTCCACTCTGCAGGCTAGGCCTGATGTTGACCCTTTTTCACAGTCCTGCTTTGCTTTGAGGCTATTAAAACTGTTTTATTTAAGTTCCATCTAAACTTTACAATTCCTCAAACTCCTGTAACTTTTATCTTTTCCTTTCTTTGGTAAAATGCCCCCATGGTGTCTCTGGTGTGCAATCACCCTCGTTAAAAAAGGTCGATAGGCCTGGTTTTGTTGACTACAGGTTTGTCTCTGGTGGTCTTAGGCTGACTGGGCTTGAACAGTCTCGCTCAGCTTCAGGATGCCTAAGACTGCAAATTTCAAAAACGGAAACAACAAACACCTGCCATTCCTGAATATAAATGCACCTGTCCACGTTGCCAGGAAGTTATGCACATGGCTACTATGTCAATTTGGTCTAACTAGGGTTGGTTCACTTCTCGGGAGGGTTATAGGAACAAGGGAGTCAGGATTCTGTACCGCTTTTAGTTCGATTGCTGCACTGGCTTGGATTTCTTTTTCTTTAGGGCTTCAGGTAAATATTTTGTCTGCTACATTGACGCCTCCAACCCCAGTGCCCGAACAACAACAAAAAAACCAAGACACATCTAGTCAGATGAAGCTGACAGAAATGCAGGGGTCAGTCTGGTTACAGGTAGGCAGTCCTGGCTACGTCGACGCCGCAGAGACTGTGGGGCAAATGGACGCGCTGCTGCTGTCCCTCGCCTCCCCCACCTGGGCCGCGGCACCAGTGCCCCAGGTGTACGCCCCACAGCAAGAACCCGAGGCTCGACGCCCTCCCAGCCGTGCACACCCGTCCCTCGCAACCAGCCCAAGAAGAGGGACGCGGCTTCAGGGCACGGGCGACGGCCTACAGGACAGCTCGCACACAGTACCAGCCGACATCTCCTAAGCCTGAGCGCCTCCACACTGAAGAGCGGATCGCGCTCCTTGGTGACTGGACGTCCGGCTGCGCCCTAGTAGAGGCCGCAAACTACTGAGCGCGTCCAAAACGCCATATTTGTGCCTGACGTCATGCTCATGCTGCCCTTCCTGTGATTGAAGAACCAACCGGTTGGGTGTAGCAGACGGGATGCGGTTTTTCAGGTAGAGATCGAAGCGGCTGAGCGCGGACTCAGGGCGCCATCTTGATTCCTGGCATTACCCTCAACGTGCCCTCCCTCTCGGTGATTGGACGAGGAGGGCGGGCCTTCCGGAGGCACACAAGCGGAAAGGCTTGCAATGCATCTGGGAACTGTCATGGCAAAGACCATGACCTTAATCAAGAGATGAAAGGTAACATCTCTCTGCACTGGCATGGGTAAAATCTAAAAAATAAAATATCACCACGATATTGGGAACCCACGTGTGATGGTGTGTCCCTGTAGCCCCAGCTATTCCGGAGGCTGAGGCAGAACTGCTTGAGCCCCTGAGTTCCAGGCTGTAGTGGACCCCAATCAGACCTGTGAATAGCCACTGCCCTCCAGCCTGGGCAACACAGCCAGACCCTATCTCTTTTTAAAAGGCATGGCCGGGCGCAGTGGCTCACACCTGTAATCCCAGCACTTCAGGAGGCTGAGGTGGGTGGTTCATGAGGTCAAGAGATCGAGACCATCCTGGCCAACATGGTGAAACTCCATCTCTACTAAAAATACAAAAATTAGCTGGGTGTGGTGGTGCACAGCTGTGGTCCCAGCTACTCGGGAGGCTGAGGCAGGAGAATCGCCTGAACTCAGGAGGTCGAGGTTGCAGTGAGCTGAGATCATCCAGCCTGGGTGACAATGCAAGAATCTGTCTCAAAAAATTAAATTAAATTAAATTAAATAGAATATGTGTGTGTATGTGTAGATGGATAGATGTGTTCTGATGTGATGCACCAAGGACATAGCATTTGTACCAAAAATTCACTATCTGAATTGAATGAGGAAAACTCCAACAAACCCATGTTACAAATTTAACGGTTAAATCTACAACTATCAGTTAAAGACTAGAGATCTGATAATTAAATGCAATTTGCAATCCTCCATTAGATCAGAATCTGGAAAAAAAGTTTTTTTTTCCCGTTTGCTCCAAAGAACATAGGAGGGACAACTGATAAATTTGAATAAGGACTGCAGGTTAGATAATAGCAATATTAATTTCCTAATTTTGATAAGTCTATTGATGATGTAAGAGAATCTCTGTTGTTTGGAAATACCCATTTTAAGAATGTATAGATAGGCTGGGCATGGTGGCTTACGCCAGTAATCCCAGCACTTTGGGAGGCCGAGTCAGGAGGATCGTCTTCGCCCAGAAGTTAGAGGCTGCAGGGAACCGCCACTGCACTGCAGCCTGGGCGACTGGGCGAGACTCTCTCTAAAAAAGAATGTAGAGATAAAGGGACATCATATCTGCAATTTCCTCTCAAATGGTAGAATGACAGAGCAAATGCAAAATGTTGACATTTGTAGAATCTAGAAGCGTTTATGGGAATTATTTGCACTAGTTTAGCAATATATTTATAAGTGTGAATTACTTTAAAATAAAAGGCTAACAAAGTTACTGAGATCAATTAAGAATGTGAGGAGCCGGCCGGCGCGGTGGCTCAAGCCTGTAATCCCAGCACTTTGGGAGGCCGAGGCGGGTGGATCACAAGGTCAAGAGATCGAGACCATCCTGGTCAACATGGTGAAACCCCGTCTCTACTAAAAATACAAAACATTAGCCGGGCATGGTGGCGCGTGCCTGTAATCCCAGCTACCGAGGAGGCTGAGGCAGAATTGCCTGAACCCAGGAGGCGGAGGTTGCGGTGAGCCGAGATCACGCCATTGCAACCGGGGAAACACAGCACAAAACCCCGGCGTAAAAAAAAAAAAAAAAAAAAAAAAAAAGAATGTGAGGAGCCAACAGACCTAGTAGTAAGCTATGAATAACCAACATTTAAATAAAATTTGGGGAAGTAAAAAGGAAGTCAAATGGCATGCCATCAACGGAAGACATAGCTTCCGTACTCTTAATCCTAAATTACTAAGAGGTGACGTTCCTGCAGCTCTCCAATCCAAATCACCAAAAACAATCTCGCCGCCCAACTTTGCGAAAACGCAATTTAGCTCCAGCCGGTTCCGCCATGTTTTCCCAGTGAGCTTGCGTGCGCATACGCACGCACGCACGCACGCACCAACCAATCGGTGCCCACGTCAGCGTCTCGTTACCGCAGGGGCGGTGCATTCTTCTACGCATGCGCACGGTTGGACGGGCCTCCTTCCTTCTCGCCTGACGCCGCCAACATGGTGAGTCTTACTATTGCGGGCTCCGGGGCTGGCGATCTTTCCTCTCTACTTCCGCGTCCGCTGGGAAGCTGAGGCGCCGAACGGCTCCCGGAGGGTCCTGGGAAGCACATGGTGAGGCTCCCTGGGCCGGCTGTGCCCCGGAATCGGGCACTTCCCGGACTTGGGGCTGACGAGCGCGTGGAGGACCCGGCAGGCCTGGCGCTCCTTGGGCCCCGCGTGCGCGCCTCGGCCGCTGGAGCTGGACTGCTGAGGCCGCTCGTGGTCCGAGAGCCGTGGACCCCGGCCTTGCGGAGCTGGGAGCTGGCAGGAGGCCGCTCGTGGTCCGAGAGCCTTGTCCCGCCGCCCCGGCCTTGCGGAGCTGGGAGCTGGCAGGCGGTGGCGACGGGACCCGGGCTTTAGTTACGGCGGCGTCTGCCGATTTCGTCCATTCAGGTTGGCGCCTGGCGCTCGGGCGTGTGTTCCCCTGCAGCATTCTTTTTCGCTGAATTTAACCATGTCGTCTCTAGCTGCAGTAAGTGACATATAAACTAGCGAGTGTTTTTAGGTAAGTCTCATTGTCCTTTCTCCCCAAATTTTAGGTGTTCAGGCGCTTCGTGGAGGTTGGCCGGGTGGCCTACGTCTCCTTTGGACCTCATGCCGGAAAATTGGTCGCGATTGTAGATGTTATTGATCAGAACAGGGTAAGTGTCACAGCTTTTTACTAAACGTGGCAGTGGATGTATGCACTGCAGATGGCAACAATAATTGTCTCGATGGCTGTATAAGGTAAGTATGCCATGGGTAGTAACTTCATTTTACCATTGAGGAAACAGGCAATGTAGGGTAAGGGTTTTAAGCACAGCCTCAAGTTAGCTATTAATATTGAATTTTAGTATTATCCCAGCCATTTAAGCTAGAGCCAGTTATGGGCTGAAACGTTGGTTAGGTTTAAATGAGTTACTAGATGCGTAAAGTGAGTTTAGAACAGATCCAGCATATATAAAGCATGTGACTCAAATAGAGTAATTCTTGTCTTTTCTAAGCAATTTATTTAAATAGTAGTGTGGGTTTGATGACCCTGAACGGATAAGTAATTGTACAGAACCATCTGACCAATTCAATTGCTATTAGATTTTGCACTGAAGTTCTTGATGTTGGTGTTCTAGGCTTTGGTTGATGGACCTTGCACTCAGGTGAGGAGACAGGCCATGCCTTTCAAGTGCATGCAGCTCACTGATTTCATCCTCAAGTTTCCACACAGGTAACTATCCACCAATCATCACCCCTTCCTACCATCCCCAGATTTGTTTATACTAGTAAAAACTTTGTTTAGAGTAAACGGTATGAAAGATTCAGAGCCATCCTGAAGAGGGTTTTACATCGTAGAAGTAGACAGGGATTATTTACTTTTAAAATGTCCTGGGCATGCTCACCTTTAATCCTAATACTTTGGGAGGCCATGGTGGGAGGATCTCTTGAGCTCAAGAGTTCAAGGCCAGCCTGGGCAACATGGTGAACCCCCCTATCCCTGCAAAAAATACAAAAAAATTAGTTGGGCATTTGGCACTCACCTGTAATCCCCAGCATGGGAGCAGGGGCAGGGCGTGTGCTGAGTTGGGGGGATGACTTGAGCAAGATTGAATCTGCAGAGAGTCCTGATCATGTCACTGCACTCCAGTCTGGGTGACAGTGAGACCCTGTCTCAAAAAAAAAATAAAATGTCCTAAGGTCACCTTTCTACCTTGATAATTTAGGGTTTTGCCTCTGTTCAGACTTGCCATCCTCCTTTCTTCTGGTCTCTGCCAAACTTTTAGCTTAAAGTAAACAAAAATACTACATCATTAGGTAAGCTCTTAGTGTGTGTCATTTGTACGGTATTTTACATGAGAGGTTGTATCCCTGGCTTACATTTAAATGAGGCAGCGAGTAGCGTAGCAGTTCTTTTTTGACTTATAAATTAAAACATTTTAGTGGTTGCTATACAGTTAATTCAACCCACAATGATGATGCGGTGGAACGCGGTGGAACGTGTACTGAACGTGTCCTGTCACATGGCCATTACAGATAAAGTAGATGTAATGTAATGTTGCATGCTTTAAAATAGTCAAAAACTTGTATGCCGAGCACTACAGACCCTGCCTGACGTGTATTAACACATGGACTTTCAGGGACTAGGGGTCGAAAGCATGCCACTTGAACAACCTGGAGTGTATCATGGCGATGCTGCTGCTGTGACATACCACATCGTTTGAAAGCACAATTGGGGTAAAGCTTGAGGATACATCAAAGCAGTAGAAAAAATCTGATAACTTAGATTTTCACTAGGGACTCTCATAATTCTGCCTTGGATCCCTAAACACCCTGGATTTTATTTTTAGGATGTTTGGCCATAAATTGTTACTGTAAAATTAAAAAAAAAAAAAAAAAGAACATTAATTACCTTGTTTGTTGTGAGAATGAATGGGTTGGCTGGGTGCAGTGGCTCATACCTGTAATCTCAGCACTCTGGGAGGCCAAGGCTGGTAGATCACTTGGGGACAGGAATTAAGGCCAGCCTGGCTAACCCCATCTCCACTAAAAGTACGAAAATTAGCCAGGTGTGATGTGCAGACCTGTACTCCCAGCTATTTGGGTGACTTGAGACAGAATTGCTTGAACCTAGGAGGCAGAGGTTGCAGTGAGCCAACGTTGCACCAGCGCACTCCCACCTAGGCAACAGAGCAAGACCCTGTCTTTAAATAATAAAAAAAAGAAAATGAATGGTTTTCAACAGATTCACTGCCAGAGTGGAATTATGTATGGTTAGAAGTGGGGTGGTTTTGGTTTTGGGGGATTTTTTTTCAGGCTGGAGTGCATTGGTGCCATCCCAGCTCACTGCAACCTCCGCCTCTTGTGTTCAAGCGATTCTCCTGCCTCAGCCTCCCAAGTAGCTGGGATTACAGGCACCTGCCACCATGCCAAGCTAATTTTTGTGTTTTTAGTAGAGATGGGGTTTTGCCATGTTGGACAGGCTGGTCTCCAGGTGATCCACCCACCTTGGCCTGCCAAGGTGCTGGAATTACAGGTGTGAGCCACTGCCCTGGGTTGAGAGGTAGTTTTTAAATTCATAAAATGGACTGGGCTGGGTGCAGTGGCTCATGCCTGTAATCCCAGCACTTTGGGAGGCCACAATGGAGGACTGCTTGAGCCCAGGAGTTGGAGACCAGCCTGGGCAACACAGCAAAACTCTGTTTCTACAAAAAATGCAAAAATTAGCTGGGTGTGGTGATATGCACCTGTAGCCCCAGGTACTTGGAAAGCTAAGGCAGAAGGATGGCTTGAGCCCAGAAGGTTGAAGCGGCAGTGAGCCATGATCACTCCACTGTATTCCAGCCTGGGTGGCAAAGCAAGATCCTCTCTCAAAAAAAAAAAAAATGGGACTGGATTTCAGTTTTGATTAAAATACGCTTGAAGTTACAAGCTATTCTGTCTTACAAAACACAATAAAAATAAGTACATACTGTGCCAGATGTTGTCTTATGCAGACAAAGAATTGTAACAGGAAGAGTGCTTTTTGAGGAACAAAGGAAGTGTCCTTGCTAATGAGTGACTTCAAAGCTGATTCCTGACTCTGTGGTCTTGGCTCGTTCTAGTGCCCGCCAGAAGTATGTCCGGCAAGCCTGGCAGAAGGCAGATATCAATACGAAATGGGCAGCCACTCGATGGGCCAAGAAGATTGAAGCCAGAGAAAGGGTAATCACTTACAGTCATTCGGATTCTGGCTTTTTCTTTTTTTTTCTTTTTTTTTTTTTTTTGAGGTTTCAAGGTATTGTGAGAGGGATAATTTTTATTTTTATTTTTCAACAGAAAGCCAAGATGACAGATTTTGATCGTTTTAAAGTTATGAAGGCAAAGAAAATGGTAAGATTTAAGATCTGTACTTTTGTGTAATTTAGCTTTAGAATAACAAGGGAGCAGTAGCCAAATCTTATTCGAAGCTGCCAGCCTCTTGGGAGCTTTCTGTGAAAAGGGAGAATTTATCCTCATTGTATTTCATGATGTTCTAATGGAATTGTTACCTTTATTTAGATTTAGTTGTAGGGGAACAGACCACTTAATGGCCCTTTCTAAAACCAGCATAAGTTGAAGTTTATTTTTTGTATACACAATAAGTGCTTTTGTATATTGATAATTTTCAGAGGAACAGAATAATCAAGAATGAAGTTAAGAAGCTTCAAAAGGCAGCTCTCCTGAAAGCTTCTCCCAAAAAAGCACCTGCTGCTAAGGGTGCTGCTGCTGCAGCTGCTGCTAAAGTCCCAGCAAAAAAGATGACCGCCGCAGGCAAGAAGGCTCCAGCCCAGAAGGTTCCTGCCCAGAAAGCCACAGGCCAGAAGGCAGCGCCTGCTCCAAAAGCTCAAAAGGGTCAAAAAGCTCCAGCCCAGAAAGCACCTGCTCCAAAGGCATCTGGCAAGAAAGCATAAGAGGCAGTTATACAAAGTAATAAAGGTTCTTTTCGTCATGTTGGCAAATCTATTTAAGTCTTTGGATTTAAAGCCTGTTGCTGAGGCTGGGGTTAGGAGGCAGACTGCTAGTAGGATTATAATAAACATTAAATAATCAGTTCCTTAATCTCACTCTCTGCCCATACTTGGATGGATAGTGCAGAATCATTACTGATCATGTCATGAGAAATCATGATAACTTAGAACACCAGGTGGCATTTTTTTTTTTTCTTAAGGTCACGTTAGCTTCAGAACATTTTTTTCCATCGTACAAATATGTTTGCCATAAATAGGTAAGGTGACAGCCTCTTGATGCCCAATAATCTAGCAGATTTTCCTTTTATTTTTTTTTGAGACAGCCTCGCTGTGTTGCCCAGGGTTTTTTTTGTATTTTTAGTAGAGTTGGGGTTTTGCTGTGTTGGTCAGGCTGGTCTTGAACTCCTGACCTTAGGTGATGCCCCCTACCTCTGCCTCCCAACGTGCTAGGATTACAGACGTGAGCCACCACGCCTGGCCTTTTTTTGTTTTCTTGAGGCAGTCTTGCTCTGATGGCTAGGCTGGAGTGCAGTGGCACGATTTTGGCTCACTGCAACCTCCACTTCCTTGGTTCAAGCCATTCTCCTGCCTCAGCCTCCTGAGTAGCTGGGACTACAGGCGTGTACCAGCATGCCCGGCTAGTTTTTTTTTATTTTTAGTAGAGAGAGGGTTTTTCCATCTTGGCCATGCTGGTCTTGAATTCCTGAGGTCAGTGATCCACCCACCCTGACCTCCCAAATGCTAGGAATTACAGTTGTAAGCCACCATGCCTGTGCAAATTTTCTTATAAAAAAAAAAAAATAAGTATAAAAATTACACGACATGGCGCCAGGGGATTCTAAGATCGTGTGCTCAAGGCGGTCTGGCTATAGCCTGGTTTTATGTTTTTAGGAAGACGTAAGGTAATACATGTAAGATGTACATTGCCTCAATCTGCAAAGAAGAGAACTCCAAGCGGGGATTGTGGAGGGACCTTCAGGTACTTCGGTTGAGCATATTTCTAATCCAAACAGTTTCAACATCTGGAACTGAGCTGTGACACTGCAATTGGAAAATCCCTAGCCTACCCTCTTGGTGGGTTATAGTCATTGGAGTTACACAGTGTCTCTAAGGAAGACATACGTAAGGATATGTGCATATGAAGCATAAATGGATTTCCTGTATGGACCTAGGTCCCATCCCTAAAATGTCAACATCAGAACACATCTCATCCTAAGCATTTCAGATAAGGGATACTCAGCCTGTATATAGAAGGCTGGACTAGTTCTGTCTACTACAAAATTTAGGTAATTTGGGGCAATAAAAGATCCTGGATAGATCTGAATACTACAAAGCTGTACACGAAACAGCCTCACTGTCTCCCAGCCTGGAGTGCAGTGGCACAGTCTGCACACTGAAACCTCCAACTCCCAAGTTCAAGCGATTCTTCTACCTCAGCCTCCTGAGTAGCTGGGTTTACAAGCATGCGTCACCACACCCGGCTAATTTTGTATTTTTAGTAGAGACAAGGTTTTGTCATGTCAGCCAGGCTGATCTCAAACTCTTGACCTCAGGTAATCTGTCTGCCTTGGCCTCCCAAAGTGCTGGGATTACAGGTGTAAGTCACTACACCTGGCCAGGAATATGTTTTAAATGAAGCTTATTTTCTAAGCAAAAGTTGACTTCAAGTTTTACTGAGGTAAAGGAAAAAGCACGTTGAGTTGCTTTTGATAATAGGCAAGTGGTATGGTGTAATAAGGAAAATATGGGCAATTTGGGATTACTTGTTCTACACTTGAGAAGTGAAACCCCATCTCTACTAAAAATACAAAAATTAGCCGGGTGTGGTGGTGGGTGCCTATAATCAATCCCAGCCACTCGGGAGGCCAAGGCTGGAGAATCGCTTGAACCCGGGGGGTGGAGGTTGCAGTGAGCCAAGATTGCGCCACTTCACTCTAGCCTGGGTGAAAGAGCAAAACTCCATCTCACAAAAGAAAAAAAGATTAGCCAGGTGTGGTGATGCATGCCTGTACTTGCAGCTTCTCAGGAGGCCGAGGTGGGACGATTACTTGAGCCTGGGAGTTAGAGAATGTAGTGAGCCATGATGGTGCCAGTGTACTCCAGCCTGGGTGACAAGACCTTTTTTTTTAAAAAAAGAAAAAACCTTGTTTTAGGGGCAGCTATTCTCAAATCTGAAAAATTAAGGGAAAATAGCTAAAAGATACAGGTGCTTCTGAAGGGTTTTACAAAGCAGAACAATTCACATCCAGACTTGCATTTTTAAATCATCCTGTCTGCAGTGTGGAAAGAAAGGATTTGGTGGGGTCTATACTGGAGACCACAGAAATGGTTAGGAGGCCGACACAGTAATCCAGGGGAAAGAAGATGCAGAGGAAGAGTCAGTGATGACTACCAGATGACTGAGTTGCTTGGATGCAAACTGGTGCATCCACTGAAGTGGGGAACCCTGAAGGAGGAACAGGGGGATGAGGGAATGATGATGAGATTAATTTGGAACATTTTGAATTTTAGGCTCTTGTGGAATAATCAAGTAGAAATCAACAGGCAATTTGAAATCCAGACCTCTAGCTCCAAGCTATCTGCACAATGCCTGGCCAATAGGAGGCACTATTGCCATGACTATTACTAAATCTGGACTGCAGAAAGATTTATGGGAGTGTCTTACAGGAGAGAGGCGAGATATGCAAGAATAATAATGTCAGCAATAATATAGCGCTTATTTTGACTTAGTTTGGTACAGAACTGGACTTTGTCCATAAAAAGGGTCAAACCAAAATATTTAAAGAGATTCGTTCTGAGCTAAATATGAGGACCAGTGACCCACAATACAGCCCCAGGGGGTCCTGAGATCTTGTGCTCAAGGTGGTCAGGCTACAGCTTGGTTTTATGTGTTTTAGGAAGACATAAGAAATCAATCAATAAGATGTACATTGGCTCAGTCCACAAAGGAGGAACAACTCCAAGCGGGGAGTGTGGGGGCACCTTCCAGGTCATAGGCGGATTCAAAGATTTCTAACTGGCACTTAGTTGACAGTTATTACTGAAAGACCTGGAATCAATAGAAGGGAATGTCTGAGTTAAGGAGTTTTAGAAACCAATGTTCTTATTATGCAGATGAAACCGCCAGGTAGCAGGCTTCAGAGAGAAACGATTGTAAATGTTTCTTATCAGACTTCAAAAGATGCCAGACTCTCTTAGATGATTCTCTCCTGGATCAAGGAAAAGGCCTCGAAAGTGAAGGGGATTCTTTACAGGATGTAGATTTTCACCACCAGAGACAGCTTTACAGGGCCATTTCAAAATATGTCAAAGAAATATATTTTAGGGTAAAATACTTCCATTTCTTTCAGGGCCTGCAATCTGTCATGTGAGACTATAGAGTCAGGTTGGAATTTGGTGTCTTATTGGTATATAGTTTGTTTTAGCCTCAAGATCTCTGTTTTAATGCTAATGCTGATCTGTAGTGCCTGAATTCCAAGTCCAACCTCTCTACTTCCCATCAGATTTTCTATGGAATGCTTTTGGGGGAGAGGAGTGGTCCATTCAGTTAGTTGGGAGACTTAGAATTTTATTTTTGGTTTACAAAACAGTTTCCTGAATGGACTCAGTTAATGCATTGAGTTTATAAATCACAAACTTTTATTACCATTCTCAATTGAGAAATTGAGGCAACGAGTTGAGTATGACTTGAGCAAGTCCATACAGAGTGGAGCCAGGAACGCAGACCGTGAGAGTGCAGACCCCATGGTCTTAGGTCACAGTCATTAAGTGGGAGACAGGGGCTATAAAGCCATCAGAAGGTTAAGTTAGGAATTAAGTAAATTAGGTAGGGAGTTAGCAACTAAGTTAATTACATTAGGAATTAATTGTTAAATATGGAGGAATTTATCATGTAGTTGGGGTACCAAGACCTAGGAGAAAATAAACCAGGCGCGGCCGGGCGCAGTGGCTCACGTCTGTGAGGCCGAGGTGGATCCGCTTGAGCTCAGGAGTTCGAGACCAGCCTGCGCAACATAGCCAGATCCCAATTTCAATAGAAAATAGCAAACAAACCAGGCGCAGAGCGGTTGTGGCGAAGGCAAGGCAAGGCAAGGGTGGGAGTCTGGCTTCGGGGGAACCATAGAGAAGGGCCAGCCTCCCGGCTTCCTAGAGAGGCAGAAGGGGGCCGACTGCCCGCCCGCTAGTGCTTCCGCCTTGGCCACCTGGCGAGCGCTCCAGTAGTTTCCCGGGCTTCCCTCTCTCGGCTACGTGTTCTGGAGGTCGGGCGTTGGGTCCCTGCAGAGGTCGCCGAGGGGCCCAGCACCCCGTCCTCAGAGACGCAATCGACCCTGCTGCTCCGAAGAGCTGGCCTGATGTCCTCCGGGCGGCGGTATTCATGGGGAGGATGGGAGCCGTGACCATAGGGTCCCCTGCTTGGGGCGGAGCGTTCAGATCCCGGTTAGGTCTTCGGTCAGCATCACCAACCGGGACATTGAGCGTCCTACCCTTGTCACCCAGGGCTAGGTCACCACTTACATTTTGTGTGCAGCCTGTGGTTTGTTTAGGGGTCCCCGTTATATCCTGCTGTCTCTCCAGAGACTTGTTTTGGATTGCCATGATCACTAGAAGCATTCAGCACAAACTATTTAGTAATGTATTCATAGTGAGGCCAAGAATATTTTTTCTAAACAGCCACGAATCCACTGCAGTTCCTGACTCTTGCTTTACAGATATTCTTTGTAGAGTTCCCAATGTCACCAAGCAGATCCACAGGAGAATATGCAGAGGGAGCATTTGCAGCATCCCATGAATCAGTGGAGAGGGTGAATGGGAGCAGCTAGTGTGCTAAGAACATCTGCAGTGCTAGTGGCAGGAGACAGAGGGAAGAGGTGGAACCACGTGTAGGAGGCAAGACAGTCTCATTGCGGTTCTCTCTTAGCTCCACAGGTTCTTGCTTTTCCAAACCTAGAGGGCAGTGCATGAAGCCAGAGGTCATCAGCCATGCTCCAGACACTGTGGTTCCAGGTGAGCAGAGCTTTCTTTCAGCTTTCCATACTCAGAACAGGTTTGGAAAGTCAGCACAGGCCTAGTAGCCTGACTTGGCCAGTCCCATGCTTCGTTTAACATCCTTCATAGAGTATGGCAAAAGAGTATGCTAGGGGTGTTGATGAATGAGAGTTGGTGAATTTGGGAGGGTCAGGTAGGTTGGAAAAGAAGGAATGAATTATCCTAGAAAGTGAGAGTCTGCATGCATGAGAACTGAAAGTGTGGCCTGGAGACGAGCAGCTTTTGCATTATAGAGGGTGCTTGTTAGGAAAATGTCTGATCTCCTGCATCAGAACCTACATTTTTACTAGATCTGGAAAATTAAGGGGCACATTAAAATTTGAGGAGTGCTTGTCTGCATCACAATACACAAAGAAAAGACACTTCTCAGGTTAAATAGACATTTCCAAGGGAGGAGTTTGCCCTGCAGACCATTCAGTTAAGGTACAGTGAAGGCAGAACTGGAAGCATTTGGAAGGTATGGATTGACGAGGGAGGTGTATTTTTGGAGGAGTGATGAGTTTGGAGCTGAAGCCAGGGCCTTTAGCTCAATGTGAAGACATCAGTCTAACCTCTGTGAGAGTCTGCATCCTTTCTTGGCACAAATTCATGTAGCATTGGGAGCACTTGTCCCTCCAGACTTTTCTTGGTGGTAGTTGATGGTTTTACTGTTTTTTTTCTCCTGGATCCTAGATCGTGTAATGAGAAAGCTGAGTTTATCACGTAGTGGATGTATCATGTAAAATGAGAAAGCTCCATCCCAAGGACTGAAAAGTAATGTGTGTGTCCTCCTTTTTGTGGATATTGGATCATCCACTACTGTTGGAACACTTTGGCAAATATTCATTCCTACAAGTCAGGAAGTGTTTAAATATCTGTGGAGGTAGGCTGTGCTTTGCCTGAAGTGCAGTAATCACTTAGGATTAGATTCCACCAAGAGGACCCCAAGTGACAGTGGATTAAACAAGATAAAGGCTTCTCTCTCATACAGAAGTGTCTAGAGTCAATCCAGGGCTAGTGTGGATGTTCTCAGGCTCTGTCTTTCTGCTCTACCATCCTAGCAGCATTTCATATGTTCTAGGCAACTTTATTGTCCAAAGTAGCTGCTTGATCTCTAGCCATCATGTGTGCCTTCCAGCTAGAAGAGGAGCTGCCAAAAGAATGTGAACCTCTCTTGTAGGAACTTTCCCATAATTCCCTAACAATATTTCTACTTGCATTTCATTGGCCCCACTTGGTTGCCAGGGCTGAGTGCAACGTCAGGTAAAATTAGGGTTCCAATACTAAGAAAGAAAGGGGGCACACACACACACACACACACACACTCACCTGTCAGTCTTTGCTACAATCTCTAAGAGGAACATTTGTCACTTAGAATCTTCTAGGAAGTTCCTCCAGTCTCATCTGTGGTTGTAGTAAGAGCTGAGATTTAAATGATATCATGTGCCGGGTGATATCTTAGTGCTTTACAGATAATAACTTATGCTATCCTTGTAAGAGTCCTATCAAATAGTTATTATTATGATCTCAGTTTTACAAATGGGGCAGCTGAGGCAGAGAAAGTTTAATTGTCTCATCCAAGATTAACAGCTGATGAGTATTAGAGATGCTATTTGAACCTAGGGAGTCTGGCTTAGAGCAGGGTTTTTCAACCTTGGCAGCATTTACATTTGGGCCAGATAATTCTTTGTTTGTGCATTATAGGATGTCCTGTGCATTATAGGATGTTCAGCAATATTCCTGGCCTGCTATCTACTAGATGCCAGTAGCACTACTGTTACCACCACACTTGCAGCTTTGACAGCTAAAAATGTCTCCAGATGTTGCCACATACTCCCTGGGGGGCAAAATGGCCCCCATGTTGAGAACCACAGCCTTAACATCTGTGCCATTTGCCACTGTGTTGTGCTGCCTTTGTAACCCACTTCCATAGGAGGGAGTCAGCAGCCCCACTTAATGAAGAAAGTAAGTGCAAGTACAGGACAGAAGAAGAGTGACCACAGATAGAGCAGGATCTGAGGAAGCTAAGTGTTTCAGAAAACAAGGAACCAAAGAATGTGCTGGTAATCAGAGCAGTGTTTCAGAGGCATGGAAATGTAGAGCATAATGTGAAGAAAAAGTGAGGTCCATGTTCCCAGCTGCTGACTCTGAAGAAAGTCAGACAAGGGTATTAATACCTGTATCTATTCTGCACTGTCCAATAAGGTACTCCCTAGCTACATTTGCCTATTTAAATTAAAATCAATTAAAGTTAAAAATTCAGTTCCTCAGTCACGCCAGCCACATTTGAACTTTCTGGTTAAGGGGCTATCTGATTACTGTATAATTACTGTTTTCCTTTTGGAACTAATAAGCAGTCTATGAAAAGACATTTAAGATCATGCAAATATTCTGCTTCTCATCAAAATTTCCTCCTAGATTTAGCATCCATTGATGATTTTTGCCATTGATGATCTTTACAATGAGGACTGCAAATCTTCTAGTACTTCCATGTTATATTTCTTCGCTCAGAAGAGACTTAAGTACAAAGGAAAGCTTGTTGACATGATGGACTGAGAAAGACTATGGTATGAGTTAGAGAGATGCCACAGTGGGACGAATTTCTATAAAAGTGGTCAGCTCATTTTGACATTTTTGCTTCCGTATACAACTTTGTAATAAATACTCAAAGAGGACTCCTTTTAGTCTATTTCAAAGTGCTTAATATTGCTGATTCCCATCATCTGAAAATGGAAATAATTCTTATTTCACAGATGTGCTATAATGATTGAGCAAATTGTTTTAAAAGTGACTGACACAGGGGCAAAGGTCTAAATAGTTTGTGATGTTTCCTTCTTCCTTGAGAAGCTGGAGGTGGTTTTAGTGGGAAGCAGAAAGACAGAGACACACAGTGAAGAGGGCAGCATTGGCCGGGCGCGGTGGCTCACGCTTATAACGTAATCCCAGCCCTTTGGGAGGCCGAGGCGGGCAGATCGCCTGAGGTCAGGAGTTTGAGATCAGCCTGGGCAGCATGGTAAAACCCCATCTCTACTAAAAATACAAAAATTAGCTGGGCGTGGTGGCGGACATCTGTAATCCCATCTACTAGGGAGGCTGAGGCAGGAAAATCGCTTGAACCTGGGAGGTGAAGGTTGCAGTGAGTGGAGATGGTGCCACTGCACTCCAGTCTGGGCGACAGAGCTGGACTCTGTCTCAAAAAAAAAAAAAAGAGGACAGCAGTGGGCAGATCTCTGCAGAAGTGGGAGATTGCTATCCTGTCCTGGAGTGAAGTGTGTTAGGAGACGAAGTTAACACTGCACATCACCTTCAAGGGAGGGAGAACTATTTTTTTTTTTTTTGAAATGGAGTTTCAGTCTTGCTTCCCAGGCTATAGTACAATGACACAGTCTCGGCTCACTGCAACCTCCGCCTCCTGGGTTCAAGCGATTCTCCTACCTTAGCCTCCTGAGTAGCTTGGATTATAGGCATGCACTGTCACACCCAGCTAATTTTGTATTTTCAGTAGAGGCAGGGTCTCTCCATGTTGGTCAGGCTGGTCTTCAACTCCCAACCTCAGGTGATCTGCCTGGCCTGGCCTCCCAAAGTGCTGGGATTACAGGCATGAGCCAACATATCCAGGCAAGGGAGAAATATTAATAGCTTCTGATAAGGCAAGATGATAGAAAGGGGAGAAATATCCAGGATGAAAGGAACCTTATCCCCATGAAATCACTCCCCTGTCTGTAGCAGAAGATGCAGGGGAGGAAGACCAGAAAGAAGCTGAGTGGAAGGCCCTGATAGGTGCTTCAGGATGGATGGAGGGAGGGTGAAAGATGGTTACCCGCTATGGCCGATTTAGAAAGCATGCCAGAAAATATACCTGGCCTGTGGAACCAGACATGGGTTGACGTGATCATCAAGCAAAGAACAGCAGGTGCTGGGCTCTGTGCTTAGGATGATAATATTAAGGCTGCAGAGGTATGCACATGGAAAGTTGGAATGCTGACTCAGGGCTGCCCCAGCTGGGGTGCTGTGTGGCTCTCCTTGCCAGTACAAACCTTCCATGGGGCTCAGTGCCATGGATTCCAGTAAATTTATGCCTTTCCTGGAATTCAGGCCTTTCCCTGTGTTCTTATGCAGGGCTTGAGAAGGAACTTGTTTCAGGAGCCAGTGACCTTTGAGGATGTGGCTGTGTACTTCACCCAGAATGAATGGACCAGCCTGCAGCCTTCTCAGAGGGCCCTGTTCAGGGAGGTGATGCTGGAGAATTATGCAACTGTAACTTCCTTGTGTAAGTCCTTCTTCCTCTCTGAAACTCAGCTTCTGCCCTTGGGGACTACTAGATTCCTCCTTAGCAGATCTAGGATCTCGAATACCTTCAGAATTGTTGCCCTGTTGGTTGAGCTCCCTAATCCCCAGTGCCAGGAGTAGCTAGATGGAGAAAGAGCTGGGTTCACTTAGGTATTTGACAGCACTGTCCTCTTCCCTGATTCCTAATGGATACTTAATTGCAGGCGGCTTTCCTCTGGGAACAGAGAGAACTGAGAAGGTTTCTGGTGCACTGCCTTCATTCCTTCCATCTTCCAGTTCCTGGGAGGTGATTTTGGCCCTATTGCCTATCTGTGAGTCCCCTAGGGCCCTCGTGTACACACCTCCAGTGACTGTGGGAGCTTTCTGTCCTCAGAGGCCAGAGCAAGCTTCAAGCCCTTCCTTAGATTCTGTAGATTCACTCCTCTCTGATTTCACTTAGTCTCCTGGGGCATCCTCTTTTATTTTTACCTGGCAAAGCAGAGAGAGGGAGGTCACTGGTGATTCTCCTCAGCTTCCTGTTCCTTTTCTTTCTCCTCTAGCAGCATTTCCATTCCCCAAACCTGATCTGATATTCCGGCTGGAGCAAGGAGAAGCAGCCTGGGGCCCAGACCCCTGGACGCTTGCTGGGGAAGAAGCCCTGAGAGGCCTGTGCACAGGTGAGCAGGAAAACCCACCATCCTCCTTCCCAGCTTTGCCTCCACCTTTCTGTTAACAATTTAGCATGAAAAAGAGCTCTTTGTCCTATGATGGTTGTGGGGATGAAAATAGTCACTCCTATTCAAAGAAGTGTTGCTTACCAGAACTTCATCCCCAAACTAGAAAAGACCAGTCCAGCCATTTTATTTTCTGCCATTTTTCTTTGTAAAGCTAAAGAATTTCAGGCTGGGTGTAGTGGCTTACACCTATATCCTGGCACTTTGGGAGACCAAGGTGGGAGGGTGCTTGAGGCCAAGAGTTCGAGACCAGCCTGGGCAACATAGCAAGACCCTGTCTCTACAAAAAAAACCAAACAATAAAATTAGCTGGGCATGTGCCTGTAGTGCCCACTACTCAGGCGGTTGAGGCTGGAGAATCCCTTGAGCCAGGAGTTTGAGGTTGCAGTGAGCTAGGATCACACCATTCTACTCCAGCCCGGGTGACGGAGCAAGACCCTATCTGTAATTTATCTATCTATCTATACATATACATATAAATGTATATCTATCTATATACATATATATACATATATGTATATATTTCAAACAGACTTCTGTTGGTTGGTCAGCTCAGGAATATAAATATAATATAGTAAGAACTTGGTTTTCTTTTTTTTTTTTTATTGAGACAGAGTCTCGCTGTATTGCCCAGGCTAGACTGTAGTGGCGTGATCTTGGCTCACCACAACCTCTGCCTCCCGGGTTCAAGTGATTCTTTTGCCTCAGCCTTCTGAGTAGCTGGGACTTAAGGCACACGTCACCATGCCTGGCTAATTTTTGTATTTTTAGTAGTGACAGGGTTTTACCATGTTGGCCAGGCTGGTCTCGAACTCCTGACCTTGTGATCCACCTTCCTGGCCTCCCGACATGCTGGGATTACAGGCGTGAGCCACTGCACCCAGCCACGAACTTGGCTTTTTATTGATTGATTGATTGAGACAGAGTCTCACTCTGTCGCCCACTCTGGAGTGCAGTGGCACTATCTCAGCTTATTGCAACCTCTGTCTCCCAGGTTCAAGCGATTGTCCTGCCTCAGCCTCCCAAGTAGCTGGGATTACAGGTGCCCACCACCATGCCCGGCTCATTTTTGTAATTTTAGCCGGGCTCAAAAGGGTTTCACCATTTTGCCCAGATTGGTCTTGAACTCCTGACCTCAAGTGATTGACCTGCCTCAGCCTCCCCAGTTGCTGGGATTACAGGTGTGAGTGACCGTGCTCAGCTAGAAGTTGTTTTTGTAAGAACATTGTATGTGTGTGTGTGTGTGTGTGTGTGTGTGTGTGTGTGTGTAAAACTATATATGTAATTGGAATTTTTCTGAATTCCTAGACACTGAATTTTACATTAGCTTTTGAAAGAAAGCTTGTTTATATATTGGGGATGAATAGTTTTCTTTTATGAAAGATACTGAATTGATATAATTGTAAAGACCAGTCAGAGATTTGGTATATAGCCTTCCTCATTCAGTTGCTTGGTTCTCATATTCTGCCAATCTTTTATGGTATTTGGAGCCTCTATAAGGCAAATGCTCCTTTCTAATTCCCCCACTTCTGCCTCAACCAGTGCCTTAAATTGACTTCAGCATTTGAGGTAATCGAGAGGCTTTCCCGGCATCCTTCCTGCAATTGTTAGTGTTGCCCCCTTGCCACAGGTGCACATGGTCTATTTAGCCAGAAGAATCACATGAGCACCTGACGTGTGCCTAGGGCAACTGAGGAACTGAGTTTTTAATTTTATTCCATTTTAATTCATTTAAATTTAAACAGCCACATGTGGCTAGTGGCCGCCTTTTGGGAAAGTGCAGCCTTAAACAATGAAAAGAGCAGCCTTAATCTGTCTTTTCTAGTTTATAGAGTAGTAAATTTCACACTCTGGTATGTATCAGAGTTACTTGCAGAGCTTGTTAAAACACAGTTGCCAGGTGCCACCTCCAGAGATTCAAATTCAGTAGACTAGAGCGGGCCTGAGAATTTGCATTTCTTTTTTTTCAATATAGGGTCTTGTTATTTTGCCTAGGCTGGTCTCAAATTCCTGGGCTCAAGTGATTGTTCCACTTCAGCCTCCCAATTAGGTGGGACTACTGGCACACACCACAAAACCCAGCCCCAATAATTTGCATTTCTAACAGGTTCTCAGATGATAATGGTTCAGGGACACCATTTGAGACCACTGTTCTTGAAGATCTAGAACCATATTCTTTAAACTCAGGGTTGCAACTCACCAATAAGTTGTTACCAGCATTTAAAAATTAGATTAGACTGTACTAGCTATAAATAAAGACTAAAATACTATAAAGCCTATTGTGAATGCATCACTTTTTTTTTTTTTTTTTTTTTTTTGAGACAGAGTCTTGGCCTGTCCCCCAGACTGGAGTGCTTTGGTGTGATCTCGGCTCACTGCAATCTCTGTCTCCCAGGTTCAAGCGATTCTCATGCCTCAGCCTCCCAAGTAGCTGGGATTACAGGCGCCTGTCACCACACCCGGCTAATTTTTTGTATTTTTAGTAGAGACGAGTTTTCGCAGGGTTGGCTAGGCTGATCTTGAATTCCTGACCTCAGATGATCTGCCCACTTTGGCCTCCCAAAGTGCTGGGATTACAGACATGAGCCACCATGCCTGGCGTGAATACATTACTCTTATTAAGAACATTGTTTCTATTTCAGGTGTGTGTGTGTGTGTGTGTGTGTGTCTCTGTATTGGTTTAGGATCCAAAATGTGAGTCATGGTCAACAAGGCTCAAAAAACATGAAAATGGAAGTTTCATTTGTCATACTTCTGGTGCTTGACAAGGCAAAGAAGGTTTTTTTGTGATGGTGCTGCCAGTGAATGCATGATCTCCATATCCCAACTCCAACTGCCATCTCCATTCTGGGCAGGTTCTTGGCTGGGCCTTTTTTTCTTTTAAAGGTTAGTTTCCCAGAGGACAGCACTTAGGTTCTAAAATTGTGTTCTTCTCATGAACCCTTCATAAACAGCAGCGTTACAAACTGCTTTCTGTCCAGCCAGGCTTGTGATAGAGAACTAGAGAACATTTCTTTAAAAACTACAGAGTATTTTAAAGTATTTTGACAGGGTTTATGCCTTGATTGGGCTTTGAGGTCCACTGTTGTAGAGAGCTCCCAGACCTCTGGATACTATGCGGTGCTAGAGCTGCCTACCCATCTTTCTCTTCTCCGGTTTAGAGATTGCTTTTCTCACCTTTGACTTCCTCTGCTTTTCTTCATTGCTTCCCCTTCCTGCAACGTCACCCCATTCCCATTTTTCTTTATCCATTTGCCTCAATCAGTATCTTCTGCCATCCACACTGTTTTTATCATTCATGTGGGATTGCTTACCTTCTCCACCTCCAGTTTTTTTACTTTCCCTTTGAGGTACCATCACGTGGCTATGTCTTTCTCAAAAAATTAATGTGTCTAGAGCAAGTTGATACTGATTAATCCATTTCCCTTCTGGCATTCTCTTGTGTTTTCCTTTTATCATGCTAGGTGGTAAAACCGAGACTAAGACTGAGGAACAAACTGCACAGCTAAACATTTTTAAAGAATCAGAGTCCCACAGACTGATAGTGGAGGGACTGCTGACAGACATTCCCCAGCACCCTGACTTCAAGGACAGGTTAGGGAAGTCACAGCTACATGATACAGGGAAGAAAACAAACATAGGAGATTGCACAGATTTGACAGTCCAGGATCATAAATCTTCCACCATTGAAAGGGAAGAGAGAGCCAGGAAATTGGAAGAAAGTAGTGTCAGCACACATCTCATTACAAAGCAAGACTTTGCTAAAGAACGGGTGTTTTATAAATGTGGTGAGTGTGGCAGTTACTACAACCCACATTCAGACCTTCACCAGCATCAGAGAATTCACACTAATGAAAAGCCCTACGAATGCAAAGAATGTGGGAAAACCTTCAGATATAACTCAAAACTGTCACGGCATCAGAAAATCCACACTGGAGAGAAACCATATTCATGTGAGGAATGTGGACAAGCCTTCGGTCAAAATTCCCACCTTCTTCAGCATCAGAAACTCCACGGTGGACAGAGGCCCTATGAATGTGCTGACTGTGGAAAAGCCTTCAGTTACAATTCAAAACTGATTCGGCATCAGAGAGTCCATACTGGGGAGAAGCCCTTTAAATGTAAGGAATGTGGGAAGGCCTTCAGGTGTAGCTATGACTGCTTCATCCATGAACGAATTCACACTGGTGAGAAGCCCTATGAATGTAAGGAGTGTGGGAAGAGTTTGAGTTCTAATACAGCCCTGATTCAGCATCAGAGAATCCACACTGGGGAGAAACCATATGAATGTAAAGAGTGCGGCAAGGCCTTCCGCCGCAGTTCGGTGTTTCTTCAGCACCAGAGGTTCCACACTGGGGAACAACTCTACAAATGTAACGAATGCTGGAAAACTTTCAGTTGTAGCTCCCGCTTCATAGTGCATCGGAGAATCCACACTGGGGAGAAGCCCTATGAATGCCAGGAATGTGGGAAGACATTCAGTCAGAAGATCACTCTGGTTCAGCATCAGCGAGTTCACACTGGCGAGAAACCTTTTGAGTGTAAGGAGTGCGGGAAAGCCTTCAAATGGAATGCAAGTTTCATTCAGCATCAGAAGTGGCATACTAGGACGGAAGTCATCGCTGGAACAGGGCCATCTGCAGTTAAGCCCTACTGCCCCTCGGCCGTCCTCTCTCCTCTGCCTCTCCAATATGCCTGCTCTACCCCGGCCCCACCAGAGCCTCCCTTATCTTCTTCACATGCAGTGATACTTCCTCCCTCTGTGCCTTTCTTCCTGCTGCTTCCCTCATCTGAAAAGGCCAGCCCTTCACCTGTCCAAATAGTCCATTTCTTTCAGGATCTCGCTTTTCCTGGGAAGTCATCCCTGTGAGCCCCCTCATGTTCTCAGCATCCGTTGCACCTCAAGTTAGGGATGCCACTGGGCTCCTGGTTGTGTCATACTGATATTCTTCTGGTCTTGTATAAGTTGTTGTTTTCCTAACTTCATTTTAAGTTCTCACACTTGAGGACCATATTTGATTGGCTTCTTTTATCCCCCAGGGAGGAAATGGCAGTACTTCCTCTTTTTCATGTCCACGCTTGGGCTGTATCATCACTCTGCATCTGTCTTCTGGGGCTGCTGGAGTTGGAAGAGTTTGCAGAACATTTTCGGGTTTAGGGCATATGGCATTGTGATTATGACGAGATGGGGCATTATAATTAGAGACTAGGAGAAGTGTAAAGCCTGTGGGAGAAGATAATCAGTTAAAGTGTCCAATATTGCTTTCAGGATTTTTTTTTTTTTAGCTGGAGTTTCACTTTTGTTGCTCAGGCTGGAGTGCAAGGCTGTAATCTCAGCTCACTGTAACCTCCGCCTCCGGGGTTCAAGCGATTCTCATGCCTCAGCCTTCCGAGTAGTTGGGACCACAGGCATGCACCACCATGCCTGGCTAATTTTGTAGTTTTAGTAGAGACAGGCTTTGACCATGTTGGCCAGGCTGGACTTAAACTCCTGACCTCAGGTGATTCACCCACCTCAGCCTCCCAAAATGCTGGGATTGCAGGTGTGAGCCACCACACCCAACCTGCTTTCAGTATTTAAGGAGGGCCATTTGGTGGACCAGTGGCAAGGCTCACTGAAAGAATTTAAGCCTTGAAATTTTTTATTACCTTAATAGTAATAAAAAATTATAAGAGTCCTGTTTATGCAAAAAGAAAATGAAGTGATGAGTTGGCAGTGAGCAATAATGTAAAATTATGTCTTTGAACTTTATTGGGAGGGGATGTGGTTTTTCAGTTTGGGTTCCTTTTCTATTTTCTTTCTGCGTTTTCCTATTATTTGAGACAGGGTCTTGCTCTGTCACTCAGGCTGGAGTGCAGTGGTGTGATCATGGACCGCTGCAGTGCTGACCCTCGGGGCTCAAGCCGTCCTCCCAGCTCATCCTCTCAAGCTGGATGGCTGCACCACCTCCCAGCTTCTTGGGAGGCTGAGGTGGGAGGCTGGCTTGCGCCCTGGGGCATACACCAGCACACCCAGCTAATTTTTGTATTTTTTAGAGACAGGGTTGCTCCTCAGCCTGCTGGATGTGCTGTGGTGCCCCCGCTGCTCACTGGGCCATTCCTCCAGACCCGGTCACTTCCTGTTTCTTCTTGCATGCTCTTGCCGCTGCTTCCCCCCTTCCCCCCCCTCTCCTGTAGCCTCCTTCCCATCCTGAAGGGACCTGCTCCATCTCCCTCTACACTCTATTCTTGTCACCCTGCTTGTGGAAACAAATAGCTCCTCTTTTGACCCCCCCCCACCCCACCCCGTTCATTACCTGCATCTTCACTTTTCTGTCCCTGTTTCCTCTGGCCCTTATGCAGCCATTGTAGAGTCTGTTGGGAAGAAACCATATATTCAGAAAGTAAGCTAGTAAGACTTGATTGATTTTTCTCCTCTATTTCAGCTAATGATTGAAATTTGGCTTTTTCTTTTTCTCTTTTTTTTGAGGCAAAGTCTCTCTCTGTCACCCTGGCTGGAGTGCAGGGGCACCATCTTGGCTTATGGCAGTCTCTGCCTCCCGGGTTCAAGTGATCCTTATGTCTCAGCCTCCCAGGTACCTGGGACCACAGGCATACGCCTCCATGCCCAGCTGATTTTTGTATTTTTAGTAGAGACAGGGTTTTGCCATGTTGGCCAGGCTGATCTCAAACTCCTGACCTCAAGTGATCTGCCCACCTCGGCCTCCCAAAGTGCTGGGATTACAGGTGCAAGCCACCATGTCTGGCCTTTTCTTTTCTTTTTGTTATATCACCATGCAAGACTAGAACTGTCATTAAGAAACTAACTCCACAATTGCCAACTTCTGAAGAAATAGAACCCCAAGGACTGCCATCAACAACGGGTGCAGCCTGGCATCCTAACCACAGGGCAGCTTTGAGTGGCAGCAGGGTCATTGCACAGGGAAGAAAAACACAAAAGAAGAGAGGCTTCATAGATGTATCAGTCAGGCAACATAGGTCCCTCCACTGTTAGGAAGAGAAATGTAAGAAATTAGGTAAGATCATTAGTGACAGCCGGCATCTTGTTAGAAATCTGAGAGTTCATGTAGACCAGATGTCTAATGAATGTGGTAAGTGTAGCAGATGTTTCAAACTAAGGGCAGTCCTTCACCAACATCAGAGAATATGGGAGAAACCATACTCATATAGGAGGTGGACAAGCTTTTAATCAGAACACCCACCTTCTTTTTTTGGTTTTTGAGATGGAGTCTCGCTCGGTCGCCCAGGCTGAAGTACAGTGGTGCAATCTTGGCTCACTGCAACCTCTGCCTCCATAGTTCAAGCGATTCTTCTGCCTCAGCTTCCCAACTGGCTGGAATTACAGGCACATGCCATCATGCCTGGCTAATTTTCGTAATTTTAGTAGAGACGGGTTTTCGGCATGTTGGCCAGGCTGGTCTTGAACTCCTGGCCTCAAGGAATTGGCCTGGCTCTGCCTCCCAAAGTGCTGGGATTACAGCTGTGAAACAGCCCGCCTGGCCAGAACCCTCACCTTCTTCAGCGTTAGAAAACTTTATGGTGAGGCAGGTGTATAAATGGATGAAGTGTGGAAAAAACTTAAGCTCCAAGATTGCCATGACTGTATTCTGATTCGTTCTGTACCATAAACAAACATTCCGAAGTCACTTGTTCAAGGCTGGGCACAGTGGCTCATGCCTGTAATCCCAGCACTTTGGGAGGCTGAGGCGAGTGGATCACTTGAGGTCAGGAGTTCAAGACCAGGCTGGCCAACATGACAAAACCCCATCTCTACTAAAATTACGAAAATTAGCCAGGTGTGGTAGCGGGTGCCTGTTCCCAGCTGCTCCAGAGGCTGAAGCAGGAGAATCGCTTGAACCCAAAGGTGGAGATTGCAGTGAGCCAAGACCACACCATTGCACTCCAGCCTGGGTGACAAAGTGAGACTCTGTCTCAACAAAAAAATGACACTTGTTCAAGAGTAGGGCTGTCCACAGTTAGACCCTGCTAAGGAATGACTGTTCTTTGTCTCAGCTCCGAATTACAGGGAGAGAGTGTGGTCTGGTCCCATTCAGATCATATATTCATTCTTGATTAATTCAACTACGGGCAGGGGAGCAGGATTACATGGTATTTACGTGGCTATGTGGGACTCACCGCTGTTGGTGAGGAGGGCAGTCAAAGGGGCTGTTGTGTACTGATAGATACTCTACAAAGAATATACCATGTTGGGCATACACTTCTTAGACTAAGTTAATTTCCCTCCACACTCCATACCAGAGGCTCTTAACCCAACTGCTCGTTAGAACCACCTGGGGTGTTGTGTTTTTGTTTTTGTTTTTTAATACCAATGCCTAGCTGAATCCTAGACCAATTGCTTCAGAACCTCTGGGAGTAGGTCCCAGGTATCACTAGTTTTTTTAACTCCTTAATTATAAGATGGTTCTACAAAGAACCACATTTTTTTTTTTTTTTGAGATGGAGTCTTGCTCTGTCATCCAGGCTGGAGTGCAGTGATGCAATCTCAGCTCAATGCAACCTCTGCCTCCCAGGTTCAAGCAATTTTCCTGCCTCGCTGGGATCACAGGCACGCACCACCATGCCCAGATAAATATTTTTGTATTTTTAGTAGAGACAGGGTTTCACCATGTTGGCTAGGCTGGTCTCGAACTCCTGACCTCAGGTGATCCACCTGCCTCAGCCTTCCAGAGTGCTGGGATTACAGGTGTGAGCCACTGCACCCAGCCAAAGAACCACTTTTTTAGAGCTTTGCTACTCAAATTGTCACCTGAAGACTGGCAGCATTGGCATCACCTGGGAGATTATCAGAACTACAGTCTCATGGAAATGAAACTCTACTCTTTGACGATGCCACCAGGTGACTTTGTGGGCACACTAAGGTTTGAGAAGCATTACTCCAGACCCGGGTCCATGTGTGTGTCTTGGCATCTAATGTTGCCAAGAAGAAGTTTGAGGCAACCTGATTTTGCTTCCTTTTTAGTCTGGAAATTTACAGAACTTTAAATCTTCAAGTTTAGTAATTTCACTAGGCTATGTCTTGTTGCTGGTTCTTCCCCATTAATATTTCCTCGAATTTAGTGAGCACTTTCAGGCTGCAGATTCTCCTCCCTGATGAATGGCTTTTCCTTCAAGTTTGTCCCATCAGGATTAGAACAAGGGTTAGATTTAAGGACACAACCATTTTAGGATTATGTTGTCTTTCTAGTATGTATTTTTTTTTAAATTGAGGTGTCACTGACATATGATAAACCATGCATAAAGTGTATAATTTGATAAGTTTTGCCATATGTATACACCTGTCAAACAATAACACAATCAAGATAACAAACATAATCACACCCCAAAAAGTTCCTTATGCCCTTTTATAATCTCTCCATCGCAGCCTGCTCTTTTCCTGCTCCCAGCTCCAAAAAACCACTTGTTTTTTGTGCTATAGTTTTCTTTTTCTAGAATTTTATATAAGTGCTATAACACAGTATGTACTCTTTTAAAAGTTATTTATTTTTTTGGTGTGATGTCTTCCACTTAACAGAATTATTTTAAGATTCACTGATGTTGCACATATATCAGTAATTCATTCCTTTTTATTACTCAGTAGTATTCCAGTGTATGTATATACCACAATTTATTTATCCATTCACCAGCTGATGGCCATTTGAGTTGTTTCTAGTTTTTGGCTATTACAAATAAAGCTCTTATGAAACTTTGTGTGCAAGTCTTTGTAATGTAAGGACATATGTTTTGATTTCTCTTGGGTAAATAAGAGTGAAATGGCTAGATAATAAGGCAGGTATATGTTTAAGTTTTAAAGAATCTGCTGAGTGTTTTCAGAGACTGTGCCATTGCACCTTTCCATCAGTGTTGTATGACTTCTACTTCTGATTACATCTTTGCCTGTACTTGATGTTTTCTCTACTTCTAACTATTCTAATAAGTGTGTAATACTGTTTCATTGTGGTTTTAATTTGCATTTCTCTAGTGACTAACGATGTTGAGCATCTTTTCAAATATTTAATTGATTTCCATATATCTTCTTTGGTGAAGTAGCTTTTCAAATCTTTTGCCTATTTTTAAAAATTGGTTTCTTTCCTTATGAGTGAATTTTGAGAGTCCTTTATATATTTTGGAAACAAGTCTTTTGTCAAATATTTTCAGTATTTTCTCCCAGTCTGTGGCTTGTCTTTTCATTCTCTTAAAAGTATCTTCTGAAAAGCAGAAGATTTAACCTTTAAGTCCAATTTATCAGCTTTTTTTTTTTCCACTGGCTAATAGTGTTTAGAATTTGTGGTGTATATGTAAGTATGTTTATGTGCACCCACATATGTATGTTCGTTCATGTTAAACGTCCATTTTAGTAGGT